GAGGGACCGGACAAGCGCAGCCTCTCACTCCACGGATTCTTGCCTCGAAGAAATTGTTGCCAAAGACATCAAAATGTCATCTTGAGCCCAAGACCCATTTGTCTGATGACAAAAAGTGGAGTCGAATTGTTTTGGAAAAGATGTCTTTGCCAAGTCACTTTCGATTCCAGAACTTAACGGAGGTCACTCGGGTTGGCCCGAGTCCTCCTTTCAGAATCCTTGTTAATCATGGCTCTTGTGCTGAGATTCACCAAACAAGGAAAAGGAAGAGAGTTTTATTCTTGGGGTTTAGTCGGGTGGTGTTTTATAAACATTGTCCTCTTCAATGAGGCTTGTGTGAGAGACATAAAGACAATTCTGTGTTGTGTTTAAAATCTCAGCATTGGCCTTAGGGGAAGCTCACAAAACCAGCCTCTGCTGGGTCCACTCACAGTACCCCTCCTCCGGGAAACCAGCTGACAGTCACGTCTCCTGCGGGGGCCACATTCCAGCGCTCACCAACCGCATCTAGCATCTACCGCTGAGTTACAGGCTGAACTGAGAGTCAGTCGGCTTTGCTCCCAAATCTGTTTCTCACTGAACTTGGTATCGTAATTACCAAATCTGATTACTTATTATGTAACCCGGTGAAATATAAATGTGAAAATGAGTTACATTTGGTAATTTAATTAATGCAAATTAAATCCTTCCTTAATAGTCAATAAATGTGAATCGCTAAAAATGTTGTCTAATTAAATGTGGATGAATCAAATGTAAAGGAAAATGTACCATAAAAATCTGAGATTTTGGATTCAGAATGTTTCAAAATGTTTCGAGTTCTAGCTCTACTTTAAAGAAATCAAAATTGCAAATCACAATGAATTATGAATGTGGTATATGCAAGAAGCTGCATGTGGAACTTCTATCAGAAGACCTGTATTTAAAGATCTTTATCCTTCATCAAAGGCAAATAATTATCTGTTTTAGTTTAAATTAAAATAATGTTCTTTTTGATAAATGGGCATTGGATACGAGGGATTCTCCTGAGCTTGTCTTCAACAATGTGGATAGAGTGCTGGCCTTCCCCTCACCAGCCACCTCCCAGACTCTCAGGAGCGAGGCGTTGGTGGGATTACCATGCCCTGGACACAACCCCGGGCCCGGGGTCCCAGGTAGATGGCAGCCCAGCCTCCCCTTGGGGCTGTGGGGAGGGACCCTCAGGCCACATTCACAGAGAGCACAGCCCACACCCAGAGGCATTCCATAAACATTAGTTTTTGTTCTTCTTTCCAAATTGCCACCTTTTAATCTAACTTCTTGCCTGTTTGCCTACAAAAAATGATATTTAATTCCAGGCACACAGAAAGTGAAATGCAGCTTTTAGCATGTTGATGATACTGTCTTCTCTGCTCTTACTCTTTTTGACTCCAATGTTCCTTCAGGTTATCGAGGTAGAATTATACCCAGGGGGTCAGATAGTAAATGTTTCGAGGTTTGTGGGCCAGAGAGTCTCTGCAGCAGCTACTCGACTCACTGCTGTAGCTTGAAAACAGCCATAGGCAATATATGAATGACGGCTGTGGCTGTGTTCCAATACAGCTTTATCTAAAACACAGGGGAAGGCTGGATTCTGCCTATAGGCTGTGGTTTGCCCACCTCTGTGTCGCAGCAAGAATTCCTAACTGGGCGCGGGACAGTACGGTCTGTGCGAGCATGTGCACATTTTGACCATGTATCTTTCTGGGGAGAGGAATCGGTTTTCTTCAGGTTTCAAAGGCACCGTATCAATAACTTTAAGTCGCATTGCTGTAGAGAAACAGCCTCTTTTGGGCTCTCATAGCATTCAATTTTTTTAAATACTGCATTTATTTTCAATTTTGTATTTCTTAAAGCTTTATTTTGAAATAATTATAGGTTCTACAGAAAGGTCCTGGGTACCCTTCACCTAGTGTCCCCCAATGGTTACAGCTTATGTAATTATAGTACAATATCCAAACCCCCAAAATGGCATTGGTGCAGTACGTGAGTATAGTTCTATGTCACTTTACCATGTGTAGATTTGTGTAACCACTACCATAACCAGCCACTAATCTGTGTTCCATCTCTATAGTTTTTCATTTCAAGAATGACCTTTCGAGACCAGCTTTTATCACTCAGCATAATGCCCTTGAGATCCATGCAAGTTATGTAGGTATTGATATTAATAGTTTGTTTTTCTTGCTGAGCAGTATTCCTCGGCATGGATACACCACAATTTGCTTAACCATTTACCTCTTGAGGGGTGATATGGTTTGGATGTTTGGCCCCTCCAAATCAGATGTTGAAATTTGATCCCCGGTGCTGAATGGGGGCCTGGTGGGAGGTGTTTGGATCATGCGGATGGGCCCTCATGAAAGAAATAAAGCCCTCATGAATGGCTTGGTGCCATATATAAAATATCCAAGGAACTAAGGTCCAAAAGAAATATTTTTTCAAATCTGTCACCCATCTATTAAATTTATTTTTGGCATGTGTGTTTGTGTGTGTGTGTATCTGTGTGTGTGTGTGTGTTTGTGTATTACTCAGCTAGCTTCATTTAATTTGGTCTTGTTTTGTGTCAAATTGATCAATCTTTTGTTTTGTGTCTCCTGTATTTTGTTCTTACCTAATATGTCCTTCCTTATTGCAAATTATGGAAATATTCACTTGCAGTTTTTCTAAGGTTCTTGATCTGCAAACTGTTGGAGCTAAGGACCAATGCTTCAGCTAGCACATTCAATCTAGAATCTTGGGTTGGGGAACTCATATCAACAAATCTGACCTGATCTGGCATTATGTTCACCCTCCTGTGTCCAGCATCGTTACAATTTATTCCTAAATTTTCCCTTGACTTCTGCTGATGTAAGTTACAAAATCTTGAAATTCTTTTAATGTGTAACCTATCTCTTCCCTAGACAGACTTTTGCCTTCTCCCCTTGAGATGTGTGCAGGAATCTACTCTAGACATACCTGGGGCAAAAATGGGTGGGGAAGGTCTGGAGGAGTCCTGGCATTCCTCTCAAGGTACCTTAACAAACCCCAGATTCCCAAATTTGGGCATCTAGTTCCTGGGTCTACTCACAGTACCAAGTAGAGTATTAATCGGTGAGGACTCAGCAAAACAGTAACCACTCTAGGTATTTTAAATAGAGGCAATTTAATATAGACACTTGTTTACAAAATCATTGGTAGAGTAGAAAGGACGAAGATATGCTAGAGAGAGGAAAGCGTTTGTACGCAAAGACCAGGAAGTGGTAGTCGCTCCTGGCTGGAGCCCAAGAGCTTGTTGGTGCCTTAAAGTTGACAGAGGCACTTCTGCTGCCTCTGTAGCTATCAGAACTACACCAGTGCCACTGAGCAGGGCCAGGAGCCTCTGTCCTCTGACTCTGGTCACCCGCAGCTATAACTGCAGCTGCCTGACTCTTCTTCAAGATACAAGGAAAACAGCTTCTCTCTTGCTCCCTCCTTCCTCTCTCTGGCCAGTGCTACCCATTGGTAGAGCCTCACAGGAAGCCAGGCGGAAAAGAGATTGGGAAATGTAGTTTGCGGGTTTCAGCACCGATGCCACAGAAGAGAGTGCAGGACAGGCATGCATTCTTTCTCAGAAAGCTATTGCAAGATGTGCTTCTTCAAAATAAGAGAGAAAACCAAGAAAGAGATGACCTTGGATGTAGGAGACAGGGGATCCGACACGAGAAACAGGCAATGGGAATGATCAGGAAGGTGGGGAAGGACAGCCCACAGCAACAGCTGTGCAGCAGCCTAGAGATCAGCCAGGACAAAGTGGAGCGGGAAGTCTGGCACTTCCAGGCAGGAGGACTCTCAAGAAAAAAGATAAGAAAGGGAACCAGTGTGTGATGCTTTTGAATACATTGAAAGGAGATTTGTTGCTCTGTCAGAGTTTGGGGGAAAATTAACAGTGAATATATAGAAAACAAAGCAATAAAAACCGAGGTTCAGGAAAAACAAGCTGTTGTGAGAGAGAGGAAGCATCCTCATAGTACACTATGTGGCTCAGCGTTAATAACAGCCATAATGACATGAATGAATGTTCACTATTCGATTTAATAAAAATGTGACAATACGAAGATTAAAGGCAGAGAGAAGTAGTGTGTTGGGATGACAGGAGAGGTGAAGAGAGCTAAATTTTCATTTTTTATATTAAAAAGTCAATAGATAATATTTAAAACTAAAAAACCAAAAATATCAATATAAAGAAATTATTTAGATACATGAAGATAAATCTAGGGAAAACAAAGCTAAACAGTTGAAAATTTTCTCCAAGGTTTTTGTAGAGGTGGAATAGGGCAAGGAAATTTTGTTTTTCATTATAAGCTTTATAGTATTTAGATTTTCAAAATGTATTTACTACATTACTTTGATAAAATATTAATATAATTTTTAAAGTCCACAAATTCTGAGGAATTTTTAGTAGACTAAAAAATTATCGTCTCTGGGTTAATATTGCCAACAATGTTCTTTGGTGAACTCTTGTCAAGATCTTTTGTAGAAATCACACATTTGTACTTCTCCAGTCTAACTACGGAAGGACTTGGCGATTATTCAAGTTGCATTCCTGATTCTTTTATTTGAGATTCTCTTCCAGCCTAATCCAGATAACGATCAACGTATTTTAAATATTCTCATCTGTGATATTGAAAGGCCTACTTAAAGTTTTTGACATACATTTTGGACAACTCAATATTGTGTTTTATTTCTTTAAGAAAACAGTCTATCTCTCCCAACTTTATTGCTTGTCAGATCTTTTCTGTGTCGCTGATCCACAGTTCCCCTATGTATTCTGGTTTGATGTCATTGTGGGAAAAGGAATCAAAAAAATACCAATATGGAAAAAAAAATTCCAGCAAACCAGTGGCCACTGTCCTAGGAATGCTGAGAAAAGAGTAAGCTGGTAGAGCCTGGCAGAATCTGGTCCTGGAGGTACATTCTTACAAAGGGGACAACAAACTCCATGGGCTGAAGGTCTCAGTGACGGGGCTCCAGGGTAGGGAAGGTTGGACCATTTGGGCTTTGTGGTGAGTGAAGAAACCTCTGCTTCCAGCCTTGGCATCACCAAAGCAAGGACATAGCAGGAGTAACGGCCTTTCTTCTTAGCCTAATGGAACGTCTAGTCTCTTAACTTGGAGGTAAATCTTCTTTTCTTTATTTTTTCTTGGTCTGCAATAAGAAATAAAAACAGGGGAGAAAGAAATTATGAGGAGGCTGAAAACCAAAATAAAGCAAATATTATAGTAAATAAAAGGAACAATAAATGGGTATAAGCTTTGTCCAAGATTAGTCTTGCGAAGTGCTAGGAGTGGTGATTCTCATAAAGGAAGTGGACAGAGCTTGTTGAATAACTAATGTGGATGGAGTGGTTCCTAAAAATCTCCTCTAGATGTGGAATTGGCCTAAATAAGTTCCTTTCTTAGGGTGTTCCAATGGAGAATGTAGGTAAAGTCTAAATTTAATCTTATGTCAGTACAAGATGATGATTTTAAAATCTAGACATTGTTATCATCAGTCTCTGCAAACAGAATTTGAGAAATTATTTTTACCAAAGTTCATTTATTTTTCAACAGTTTGGTGAGTGAAGAATGCAATTAAAACATTTGTTCAAATGCAAGTTTTCTCAATCATCTTTTCTTTGTGAATGCCAAGATGTTGCTGATAGCCATTGTAGAAATACTGCTTCCTTCATTTTGTTGTTCCCAGCCATGCCCTTTGGACCTATTCTTGCTTATAGTAATATTGAATCAGGTGTGGGCTGCTTCCAGACATCTGGCTCCTCAAAGAATTTCCCCACCTGCAGGTGGTTAGTCCTGCCTAAACTTCTGGACCAGTCCAACCTGAGGGGGCATAGCAGAATCTCGCCCAAATCATCCTGTGGTTTTAGGGTTTTCTCAGACTCCAGATGGAGGGGTAAAATCCAGTCTGCTGAGCTCCCATGGTCTCTATGGCAACAACAACAGCAGTGGCAACAACAGCAACAGCAATAGCAGCAGCAACAGGACCAGCAAGTACAGCAGCAGCAACAAAAGCAACAATGGTAACAACAATAGCAACAGCAGC